GGGGGGGGGGGGGGGGGGGTTCTGGAAGGCAATGTCCCACTCCAGGAAGGGCCTCTCCTGCGAAACATTCAGATTTTGGTGAACCGAAACAAGGAACAAGAAACAGTGCACATGAGAAATTCAAGAACTTCCTTCAACAAAATTAGGGAGGGGTTGTGGTGTTGCACCTGCATTTCCAATATTTTGGGGCATTTGTCACAGAAAATTGGTACACGACTCCACATGTCCCAGCTTTGGTGACATGAAGACAGGCGGGGTGGAGGGCCACCAGACTCCATGCCCAGCGTCTATAACTCCCCAGGTGCTGGGCCCTGGCAGGTGCAGCACAGGGGTATCTCCACAGGAGGGCAGTCACCCCAGTAAAGAAACTCTTCATTTAATCATCCCCAAATTCCAGCCCCTGCTGACCCAAACCAAGACTCTGCGCATGCCCAATTCAGCAAACAAAGGCCTTTTAATCCCAGGACCTGGGGCCTGCAAGGCTGAGCTACGGGGGTGGGAGTGACAAAGGGGTTCTGCACAGGGCCCTGGCAGCAGAGGCAGGCAGCAGCAGCTGCATCCTGGAGGGCGGCCTGGAGCACCTGCTTGGGAGGGGGTGTCTCTGGAAGTAGCTGCTGAGGAGGCCGCGCTGCCTGCTGGGTCTGAGGCAGAAGTCTGACCTGCAGGGAGCCCGTGGCAGGGGCAGGTACTCTGGGGGCAACTGAAGGCAGATCTTTGGGCCACAGGGTCCCTGTGGGATGGGGAGGTACTCCAGTCTGGATGGAAGGCTGATATTTGACCAGCAGGGCGCCTGCGGGAGGGGCAGGTACTCTGGCTGGGGTCGGAGGCAGACGTTGGACCAGCAGGGTGCCCGTGCCAGGCAGAGGCCCTCCCGGCTGGGTTGAATGCAGATCTTCGGGCCGCAGGGTGTCCGTGCCCAGCGTGTGAGGCCGGTGCACCTGCCCTGCGGGACGAGAAGAGACACGGGCCACAGGACGTCGTTGGGCCTGGGCCTAGGGACAGGGTTCTGTTGTTACCGAGGGGACGGCCGGCACAGGCCTCCTCAGGGGTGACGGGCTGTGGGTGCAGCCGCTCCTGGGCCCCTTTGTTTGGGAAGAGGATGACCCAGACCCTTTGGGGCCGAACGTCTGCGGGACCCAGCGCTTTGCTGTTCCCTGCACCCAGCACGCAGGCTGCAGCTCGCCACCCACAGCTCGGGCCGCACCCGCTCTCCTCTCCCTTGTCTGGGCCGGGCCTCCCCTCTGCTGCTTCTTCTGCCCGTGAGCAAGACAAGCCCGTCTGAAGAGCTGCCTGGGGCCTTCCAGAAAGGCCCTTGTGTACCCTCGTGTCCCTCACCCCGGGTAAGGACGAAGGGCTGGTCCCAGTCCTTGTGTGACCTCAGGCCGGTGCTCAGCCTCGGGGAATGGCTTTCCTGAAACACAGCAGCTGTGCCGAAGGCCGGTGACCCCTGTCCATTCCTCCTTTCCTCCTAACGGAGACCGGATCTCACTGGGGAGCCTGTGCCACTCTGTAAACTATCCCAGAGTCCTCCTGGGCCAGGTGCCCTGGAGCAAATTCCGGGCAGTGGAATGCGCACAGGAGTGGCCCTGCACTGCTCTGGAGAGAGCTCCTTGCCTCTTCCCTTCTCATTTTTTTTCTTTTTGTTTTGATTTTGTTTTTGTTGCTGTGTTTGTTTTTACTATAGCATATGTGTGCTCATTGGAGAGAGAAAGAGAAGAGGAAAGTAAGGAAGCCCACCCCCGTGGAGGATGGCCACACCACAATCCTTTCTCTGTTTTATTCTAGGAATTTGGGGCATGCACACACATGCACCTGACATGTGCCTCGCGTCGCCAGGTCCAGCACTCAAGCCACACAGCTAGTGGGCTAGCCGTCCTAAGCTGCAGGCCACCTGCTAGTCCCCGCCTCTTTTCTGACTTGAATGTTATAGACGTGTGGCCTGGGCTCCAAAAGCAGCCTTATAAGCATGAGCGTGAGCTGACTGGCCTATCAAAGAGGACTTCTCAGCAGTCTCCCTCACAACCCCAAAGCTTTTCTCTTGCAGGATTAATATGAAGTCAATCAAGGAGGGAAAAAAAAAGAGAGAGAGAAGCAAAATATCTAAGAAACAGGAAATGGAAAACTATTTGTTGAAAATAGCCTGCATGGAATATCTTTGAGCTAATATACAGTGTATTCTGGATGGAAAATTCACTTTGTATGCTGCAATGATACGAACATTTTAAAAATGAATGAATAAAAGGAAGTGAAGCCCATCAGATAAAATTCTTTTTTAGGCCACTGTGCTTCTCATTCATGGATGCACAGAGGCTTTCTCTCTGGAATATCCCTCAACAGCTGTCTGCAAGGTGAAACCCCAGTCATTATTCGTTTCTGTTCACTTATCTGGGGCTGCACGCACCTGTCACAGAGAGCTAGAAAGGGACAGGGGGAAACCCCACCTGCACATGTACAGTCCCTTCCCCGTCCACGTCTGCCTTTCCTCGGGTGTGGGTGCACACACTCCTACCTGGTGTGTCCCTCAAGCCACAGGGCCTGGGATTCAAACCACACTGTTGGCCATGTGGGACCCAGCTCCTTACCACCAGGCCACTTGCTGGCCTGTCCTCTACTGTCCTTCAAGACAGTTCAAGCTTGGCCTCTTCTAGGAAGCCCCTCCTAATCCCCCCAGATCCCTGCTGCCCGGCTTTCCAGGCCCACCTAAAGTCACACTGCCGGCCCCGGCACCAACCTTGAGCCAAGGCTCTCTACTCGTCAGGCCCCAGAAATAGAACCCTCAGGGACGAGGGCAGTGGCCTCTGCCTCCAGGCTGGACCCTGATAGGGTGGGGAATTGGATGGCAAAGACTACTGTATGGCCAGACCCACTGGGGAGTGTCTCTCTCTCTCTCTCTCTCTCTCTCTCTCTCTCTCTCTCTCTCACTCTCGCACGTGCTCACACACTCTGGCAGAGAAAAATTTCCGAGATCACCTAAACGAAGTGATTTATCCCAGGGTCCAAGGTGATGACATGAGGAGGGACAGTTTGCACCTGGTCAGAGCCATCAGTGCCGGACACAGAGCACTGCGACTCTCGGCCACCCGCACCCCTGGCACCACGTGGACAGCTGGGTACACTGGCTGGAGCCCCTGGGGAGACTCGCGAGCTCCAGTAATCCCAGAGGCTGTCACCAGGTCCCTGGTGACATCAGTACCTGGCTGCAGTGTGGGTGAATGAAGGGGCACAGGGAATGCCCATTCCCTGTGAAGCAGACCAGGAAGAGGGTCACAGGGCTGGGACGCTGCTGTGTAGGTCTGCTTACTGTAAACACTGAGGGAGGGAACGAGGTGCTCCTGTGCTTGGGGTGGAGACTTACGCTCTGCTCTGGGAGAGGTGCCCAACCAGGGCAGAAAGAAGAGAAGGTCAGGGCAAGCAGAAGGTGGTGGGTGACACCAGGGCCCAGGACCCCATGAGGAGCCCTTCTGGGCCCTGTGTGGGAGGTCCTGCCTGCGCTCAGAGCCCTGGCTGGGCAGCCTCCTCCCTGGAGGGTGACTTGGACTTTTCTGGGCCCACCCCGAGAGAGATAGGTAAAACAGGGCTAGCCTGTCCTGCTGCCCCCTCACCCCCGAGGCTGCAGAAGAGACAAAGGAGGCTCCTAGGACAAAGTCCCCTGGTCTGACACAGACAGCTGCAGGCCCAGGGGGAGACTCAGCCAGGAAGAGCTCTGGGACAGTCCCTCACTGCAGCCTGGGCCCTCTCCCTCCACATCCAGGCCCTCCTCGACTCCATGCAGGCCCTTCTCATCCACATCCATGGACTCCCTCCCTGTCTAAGGCTCCCTGGCTGTTGCCTGGCTGTTGCCATGGTGGATCCTAGCGGCTCCAGGAGGAAGGGGTCTCCTAGCAGTGAATTGCTGTCCTCGGGTCCCAGGTACCCGGTGACAGCCTCTGACCCTCCCCGGGGCTGTCCTCCCTGCCGCCCCGTCACCCTCTCTCAGCAGGCCTCGCGGCCCAGGGGTGAGTTTCCCCTCTGCCCAAGGAGCGTGTATGGGGCTGCCCAGGCCCACTGCATTTCCTGAGGGCATCCCTGGTGGTGTGAAGCCACCTGAGCGCTGGTTTGGGGTCTCCCTCCCTGACCTGCGAGGCCCTGCGGGCCTCACCTGGTTTCTCCTCATCCGCCCTCAGGCTGCAGTTTGACACCCAGGTAGCCCCAGGGCGGAACCCAGTGCTGTGGGAAGCTGCACTGCCCAGACACCTGCCATCTCCCTGCCAGAAACCAGGAAGTTCCCTGGGGAGCCCTGCCTGTGGGAGAGGCCTGGGGACAGGAGCCCCACTGGAGGTCTGTGCCCTGGCCACTCCAGCTGCTTCTCCAGCTCCACGTGGTTGGAGCTCCCTCCCGCAGAGCCCGGCTCCCTGCAGGCCACTCTGCATGGGCAGCTGCCCGCGCAACTGCAGGCCCACCTGGGCCCCGGCCTTGCTGGCCTCTCACCTGGGTCCCTCTCAACCCGCACGGTCCTCGGCACCCCCAGCAGCACAGAATCACTGTGGGGCAGGCAGGAGGCGGTGGTGGAGGAGGTGGCGCTGGAGGAGGGAGCGGTGGTGGCTCTGGAGGTGGTTTCTTCTCTGACTCCTGGGAGAGAAAGCCCCATGGGCTCCTTGGCTGGCAGCCCCAGGGAGCGAGGCGCATGCTCAGCTGCACCTAGTGCTGGGCTGGCCACTCAGCAGAGGGCACAGGGAGCCTAGGACAAGTGAGGAACACCCCGCAGGGAATGTCCCTCAGGGAAAATGCCCCAAGCCTCCTGTCCCTGGGCTCTCCTGCCTGCCCTGGTGGCAGGATCTGGCCATTCCCGGGAATGGGCACCGCCCGGTTCGGGCCTCCCGG